ATATATATATATATATATACTTTGCTGGTTTTTGTGTTTCTCTAGAGAACCCAATCTAACACAATGATGCACCCTGATAACCTGGGAAATTTTCAACTAGAGGGGACAGTATAGGAGGGAAGAAGGTTGGAAGAGGAAATAGAAAACACTGGGACTTAGGAAGCAGGATATAAATTACCATGCAGTTTTCTGGCTTCTTTTAGCAACATTCTTATGTCATTACTGTTTGGTCAAAGCACTGAAGGATGTCTTCTCTCTTTGTGAACTGCCGAGCCAGGGTGCCTGTTATGTCTGGAGAATCATTCAGTCCAGACTGCAGGAGAAACACAATGCAAGGCAAGTGTTGACCTGCACAGGCCAGATGCAGGGCTAAGAGAAGACAAAAATCACATGAACTTAGTATAGGATCCCTCACACGGTTGGACTTGATTAGATTGCTCCTTACAAAAATACTGGTTCTTTCAATTATATAGACTTTCTATTTCCATAGTTTATTTTTATGACTTTGCCTATACTAGATCAAAATATTTTTCTTTTTAACCTGATTAGGTTGAGAATAGTTTTAAAAATAATAAAACCAGTTAGAGACATTTTAAGAAACTTGTCCGAAACAACAAAGCAAGTTAATGGGAAATATGAGACTGGTCTTCCTCATGTTCATTCCTGTGTGTCATTGAAACACATTTTAAATGGTGTAGAAAACATTTTCAAAATTTTGTGAATTTTTTTTGTGAGTGAAAATGATCACCACAAGTAAGAATGATGTGACAAAAAGAAAAACTATGGCCACATTTTCCCAGTGTGGTAGTAGAAATTAAGCCTGACAGTTTGTATGTTGGGAACATCCCTGGTTACACTACCCAGTCTCTAGGATGAGGTGTTGCATTCCTCCCTCGACTTAGTAGCTGCCCTTTCCAGCTCTAGAGTATGTAACTAGTTATCTGCTCATCTCTGAAGTATCATAAAGATGACATGAAAACCTTGGAAGATGGCCACTGGCTCACAAAACATTAATTAGAGGTTTTATTCTAAAATCCAAATCTAAAGAATTAGTTCTAGAAATATATTTCTGAATCCTAAATTTAAAAAATTATACTGAATTTAGTTTCTAAATAGACTCCAAAGAGATACAACATATGATGAATCTATACAATACCCAGGTAGCTGGCATCATCATGAATTAAGATAGAAAATGTTTCTGTTAAATATACTGTATCATTGTAATATAAAATAATAATAAAAAACAGTAAGAACAGTAGGAGTAATGAGTAGTCCTTATCATTATTGTTATGGTAATAGCAATAGTTCTGTAGCTTTGGAAACAGGGAATGTTATTTTAATGAAAAGTTGCTAAGCTACTGAAATAATATTAAAACCAATGTTTTTAATATAAAAGTCCATGTTTTGTTTACATTTAATTTAATAATTTTCAAGGCATATATAAAAATAAGTCTCACCTGATCGATTTCTTTCATCTTTAGAGTTGATATCAGCACCCAAAGATAGGAGAGTCTGAACTGTGCTTGTATGTCCTTCCTGAGTGTTGGAAAGAAATTTATTATCACTGTGATGGAGACAAAAACAAATTTTTAATACAAACTTCAATGCATATTAGGTACTGTTTCAAAAATAGTGAACTCAAATAGAATTTTCATATCTAACAGAAGAATCATATCATTCTCAAATTTTATTATAAATCATTAAATAAAGATTTTGGTGGCTTTTCTTTATTAGACTATAGATGATCAACTGTGTAGGCCAAACTATTGGCCAAGGTCATTGAATTTCCATAAGTATAAGGCATAATAAATCTTGTGATGTATACAGACCACATAATTCCAAAATTTCCCAAGAGCATATTTATACTCTTTGCTAATATCTTTAGGGGAGAGAGGAACTAGAAAAGATTGTAACTCCACATAACCGGCAGTCTTATTACAGCTAACGTGATCATATATGAAGTAATTTATACACTATCTTATCTAGCAAGTTAGTTCATTACATGTGGTGTGACTAAAACCAAGGTTACAGAGTCAGTCTTCCTGTGTCTTTCCCTCCTGTGACCACAGATGACTCTTAGCCCAATTTCATGAATCTGCCACTAGCTTATAAGGGGGGAAGCAGGAAAGAGAGTACAGTTGATCAGGAAAAAAAAAAAAATTATCCCTGCTGCTAGAAAATCAAGTAAAGGCAGATAACCAATAAATAATGTTAAAGATGATCCACAAAAGATAACTAGCATTTAAAACAGAAGGAGGTAGATAGCTACTTTCCTAGAGAAAAAATTTTGCATGTCTTAAATATTTCTACACTGGAGAACCCAGTAAGTGCAATTCCCATGCCCTGGTTAAAGAGATCCTAATTCTTGAAAAGCAGTACAAGAAAGCTAAGAATTTCATAAAATGGATCTTCATAGCTTCAAATAACATTATTCTTAAAAACAAAAAGGGAGGGGAGGAGGAGCATAATCCTAGGCATTTTATAAAGAGTTTCTCTATTTTTACTTAGAAATAAATAAGGTCAGGTTTCTAGTTAAAGGGACACAGGGCTTCAGAATCATGAACATTTCTGAAGCAAATCATGGGCAATTTCTTCCACACAGAGCTAAAGAAACCAGGGCTATAAAGCTATTCATTGATGGAGTAAGGCAAGCCTAAGGAAGCAGAGACACAGTTATGAAATAAACAAACCTTAGCTGCATAGTGAAGTGCTGTGAGGTGGGTTGATGTTGCTCTCACATCAACATCAATGCCAAGATCAGAGACCAAGAATTGGATAGCTTCATTCTGCCCAGTGACTGCTGCTCTGTGCACTGCCTGGGCCCCTAGCATATCCTCGACTGAAATGCAGGCCTAGTACATAGAGGAGAGAGAAGCAGCAGAAAAAAGTGGGTCCATGAATCTTCTGACATTTTGGCAAAACTTTTTCGTCTAACTACTCTTTTCTAGGTAGAAGATCCATAGTTTTCACTAGGTTTTCAAGGACTCTCTAACACTCCCCCTACCTCAAATGGCTAAGATTCAATAGTCTTAACAATAGTGCCAAAAGGACAGTCAGAGGGACAGTTTGTTGTTGTTACTATAAACACCCATCATGTACTAAATAGTTACTTTGCTAACTGCTTTATGTAAATTGTATTATTTAATCCTTATAATGGAGTCCCTGAGTGGGGCAAATGTAATGGATTTGGCTGCTAACAGTCAGTTTAAATGTTCAAGTCCATCCAGAAGCACTTCAGATGACAAGTCTAGTGCTCTACTTTAAAAAAATTAGGCACTGAAAACCTGTAGAGCACAATTCTACTCTGACACACATAGGGTCACCATGAGTTGGAACTGATTTGATGGCAACTGATAAAATAATCCTTATAATCTCTTGGAGAAATTATATATCTCCATTTTACAAATGGGAACACTGATTCTCAGAGAAATCAAGTGGTCTCACAGGTGGAATTCGCAGAGCTGGGATTTAAATCCAGGATCTGAATCACTATGGTTTCTGCTTCGTCTATGGTATAAATTTATAGGGATAATGAAAGGAATAAACCCAAGCCATTTCTATACCTTATGTTTTTCAAGGAGCAGCCTAGCTATGTTGACATGACCACACTGAATTGCATCCATAAAGGGTGTAACGCCACACTTGTCTCTGCAGTCTGGTTCATACTGGCACCTAGAGCCAAAACCCAAAATTACAGAGCTGAGAAAATTCACTACTTCAAGCCCAATGAACAATTGACATTTGCTCTCCTGCAAGTGGGTTATATGCTTTACAAAGTATGTGTGATGATCTGGAGTTCACTCTCTCTTCTCCATCTCAATATCTGAGATGAGCTCTAGGTCTTCAAGAGTATGTTGATGTTCCTGAGCAAATCTGTTCCTCTTCTAACCATCTCTATTTCATTAAAAAAAATTTTAATTGTCTTTTAAGTGAAAGTTGACATAGCAAATTCAGTTCTCATTTAACAATTTTTATACAACTGATTCCATCACGTTGGTTACATTTTTTACAATGTGTCAACATTCTTAATTCCATTCTTTTTGTTCTGTTCCCATTAATTTAGCTTCCCTGCCCCTCCATAGGTTCTCATCTTTGTTTTAGGGTAAATGTTGACCATTTGGTCTCATAAAGTTGACTGATTTCAGGGAGCATAGTATTCATGAGTAATATTGCTTATTTTTATAAGCTAATCTATTATTTGGAGGAAAGGTGACCACTGGGAGTGGATTCAGTTCCAAGTTCAAAAGGTATTATAGGACAATAATCTCAGGGGTTCCGCTAGTCTCTATTAACTTAACTCTATCCAGTTAAATCTAGCCTTTTTTAGGAATGTTAGTTTTGTTCTACATTTTTCTCCTATTCTAACCGGGACTTTCTGTTGTGTCCCTGATCAGAACGGTTGGTAGTGGTAAGCACAGGCACCATCCAGTTCTTCTGGTCTCAGGCACTAGAAGAGGCTGCAGTTCTTGTGGACCTTTAGTCCTGTGGACCAAGTTCTTCCTTGAGTCTTTGGTTTCCTTCACTCTTCTTTGCTTCAGACAGGAAGAGACCATTAGTTAGATGGCTGCTCACAAGCTTCTAAGACCCCAGATGCTACTCTCCAAACTAGGACAAACTATGTTATGCCAGATGACCAATCTGTCCCACAAGACTATGGTTCCAAACCTTTAAACCCAGTAAACCAATCCCATTAGGTTTATGTCTTAGTAGTATCTATAACTGTGCCCCCTATGAAGTTTAATATATATATGAATGTATATGCAGCACACATGAACATGTACATATACCTATACATGCATACTCATATACTCATATGTGCCTTTCTATACACATATAGGAATACATGTCTGTTATTGTTTCAAAATTGTATGCATTTACCAAAATTGTCCCTTATTCTTGTGTACTTCTTATGTCTTCATTTACTTTCAACAAGCTGTGCAGACTTCACCCATATTGAGTATTGCCTTTCCTATTCCCAAAAATATAAAATATCTACTATCTAGAAAGTGAATTCCCCTCCCTACCCCTCCTATTCTCGGTAGCTACTAAAGATAGCTGTTTTCTGTGTATAAACCTATTCTTAACTTTTTATAAAAGTGAGACTATACAATATTAGTCCTATTGTGATTGATATTATGTTTTATGGACTCATCGTTATTCTTCATTAGTTGTGTAGTATTCCATTGTATATTTGTACTGCAGTTTGTTTAGCCACTCATTCACTGATGGGCACGTAGGTTGTTCCCACCTTTTTGCTACTGTGAATGCTGCAATGAACATAGGTGTGCATATGTCTATTTGTGTGACTGCTCTTATATAGGAGAATATATACCTAGAAGTGGTATTGCTAGATCATGAGGTATTTCTATTTTCTAGCTTTGGGAGGAAGCACTATATTGTTTCCATACAATTGTACCATTTTATTGTCCTTCCAGCAACGAGTTCCAATCCCCCCACAACATCAACAGCATTTGTTTTCTTTTTTTTTGGGGTCATTGCATTTTTGCAGGAGTGAGATGGTATCTCACTGTAATTTTGATTTGCATCTCTCTAATGGCTAACCAGACACTCCTCGGAAGGAAGATGGGGCAATCTACTTCCGTAGTGATGATACTGCCTTGGAAACCCAAGGAAGGGTCATTATGAGTTGGGTCCAACTTGACAGCACATAACAACAACAACAATAATGGCTAATGAGGGAGCTCTGGTAGCATAGTGCCTAAGGTGTTTAACTGCTACCCAGAAGGCTGGCTGTTCAAACCCACCAGCCACTCCTCAGAAGGAACATTGGGAAATCTACTTCTGTAGTGATACTGCCTCGGAAACCCAAGGAGGGGTCGCTATGAGTTGGACCTGACTTGAGGACAATGAGTTTGGTTTTTTTTTTTAATGGCTAACGAAGGAGACATAGTGGTACTGTGGTTAAAGAGTTTGGCTGCTAACCACAACACTGGTGGTTTGAACCTACTAGCTGCTCTGTGGCAGAAAAATGTGGCAGTCTTCTTCCATAAAAATTCACAACTTTGGAAACCCTATGGGGCAGTTCTATTATGTCCTAGAGTCACTGTAAGTTGAAATCAACTTGACAGCAGTGGGTTGTTTTATGGAATGGCTAATGATCATGAACATCTTTTATGTAGTTTTTGGCCGCTTGAATGCAGTGAATTGTCTTGTTTGTGTCCTTTGACCATTTTTTGATTAGATTTGTTTTTTTGTTGTTGAGTTATTGAAGTTTTCTATATATTTTAGAGATTAGAACCTATCAGATATGTCTTCGCCAAAACTTTTTCCCTGTCTGTAGGTCCTCTTTTTATTCTCTTGGTAAAGTCTTTTTTGATGAGCATGTTCAGTTTTATTTGGTATTTATGCCAAAAATTAGGTCCCCTATTTTGACCATATGTTTATTCTGGGAATTTCATAGTTTTAGCTTTGACATGTAAGTATTTGAGCCATTTTGAATTAGTTTTTGTGCATACTATGAGGAATGGATCTGGATTCATTTTTCTGCATAGGGATAGACAGTTTTGCCAGCACCATTTGTTAAAGAGACTGTTTCTTCCCCACTGAATGGCTTCTGACCCTTTGTTGGAGATCAGCTGCCTACAGATGGATGGATTTACTCTGGGTTCTCAATTCTATTCGATTGGTCTATGTGTGTGATTGTACCAGTACCAAGCTGTTTTGATTACTGTGGCCATATAGTAAGTTCTGAGATTGGGAAGTGAGAGGCTTCCTACTTCATTTTTCTTCTTCAATATTCAATTCAGGGCCTCTTCCTTTCTTTCTATATAGTTGGAGATTAGTTTTTCCATTTCATTAAAGAATATTGTTGGGATTTGGATTAGGATTGCATTATGTCTATAGATTGCTTTTGGTAGTTTTGACATATTCACAATGTTGTCTTCTAATCCATGAGCATGGAATGTTCTTCCATTTATGTAGATCTCTTCTAGTTTCTCATAAGTGTTTTACAGTTTTCCTTGTATAAGTCTTTTACATCCCTGATTAGGTTTATTCCTAGGTATTTTTTCCTTTTGAGGGCTAGTGTAAATTGGTATTGATTTCTTGATCACCTTTTCAGAGTCCTCTTTGTTAGTGTAGAGGAATCCAACTGATTTTTGTGTTTTGATCTTGTGCTCTGTCACTTTGCTAAATCTATTAGTTCCAGTAACTTCCTTGTGGAGTCTCTGGGATTTTCTATTATAGGATCATCTCATCTGCAAATAAGGATAGTTTTACATCTTCCTTTCCAATTTCAACACATTTCATTTCCCTTTCTTGTCCTATTGCTCGAACTTCCAGTACAATATTGGAGTGGTGATAAATAGCACCCTTGTTTCATTCCCATTCTCAAGGAGAATGCTCTCAGTCTTTCTCCATTGAGAGTAATGTTGGCTGTTGGTTTTGCACATATGACCTTGATTATGCTGAGGAATTTCCTATTTTACTGAGAGTTTTTCTTCTTCTTTTTTTTAATCAGGAAAGGATGTTGGATTTTATCAAATGCCTTTTCTGCATCAATTGAGATGATCATGTGATTCTTTTCCTTGTTTTATTTATGTGAAGAAGTACGTTGATTGTTTTCTAATGTTGAACCACCCTTACATCCCTGGTAATAATCCCACCTTACTGTAATGTACTTTTTTTTTTTTTTTTTAATATGCTGTTGAATTCTGTTGGCTAGAATTTTGTTGAGAATTTTTATGTGTATTTTCATGAGTGATATTGGTCTGTAATTTTCTTTTTGAGGTATCTTTACCTGGCTTTGGTATCACAGTTATTCTAGTCTCATAGACCGAATTAGGGAGCATTCCTTCCTTTTTTATGTTCTGAAATACTGAGTAGAACTGGTGTCAACTCTTCTCAGAATGTTTGATAGAATTCGCCAGTGAAGCCATCTGTCTAGGCTAGGCTTTTTGCTGTTATTGGGAGTTTTTTTTATGATGTCTTCAATTCTTTTGTTATGGGTCTGTTCAAATTTTCTACCTGATTTGTGTTAGGTAGGTAGGTACTGGGTTTCTAGAAATTTGTCCATTTCTTCTAGGTTTTCTAATTTGTAGGAATATAATTTTTCATAGTATTCTGTTATGAGGGCTGTGATATTTCAGAAGCAGATCAACAACTGAGATTTTTCTTAATCTCAGTTGGTTCTGTTGTAATGTCACCCATCTTATTTCTTAATTTGGTTATTTGCATCTTCTCATTTTTTTCCTTTGTCAATTTAGCCAGTGGTTTGTTAATTTTGTTTATCCTCTCAAAGAACCAACTCCTAGTCTTGATGATTCTTTCCATTTTCCTATTTCATTTATTTCTGTTCTGATCTTTATTATTTCCTTTTTTTCTGGTGACTTTAGGCTTCTTTTGCTGTTCCTTTCTATTTGTTCAAGTTGTAGGGATAAGCTACCGATTTGGGCCTTTTTTTTTTTTTTTTGGTGCGTGTTTATTGCTACAAATTCTCCTCTGAGTGTTACTTTTTGCTACCAAAATGTTTTGGTATGTTATGTTTTCATTCTAGCAATTTCTTAAATTTCATTTTTAGTTTCTTCTATTACCCAATAGTTTTTAAGTAAGGTGTTATTCTGTTTCCATGTATTTAATTTTTTCATTGTTCTTTCTGTTATGGATTTCTAGTGTTATAATGTTGTGATCAAAGAAGATACTTTGTATTATTTGTTTTTTTAAATTTATTGAGGTTTGCTTTGTGACCTAATCCATGGTCTTTTCTGAATTCTCTCTCATTTTATGACACTTTCATCTTTCCAATTTCTCACGCCAGAGCCTTGAGGCCATTCTTTCTATTACCCTTTTCTTTATCCCCAATAATTAATTTTCAAAATCTGTCAATCCTACATTCAAAATATTTAAAAAATTTGTATCCTTCTCCTCTTCTCCACTTTCACCCTGTTGTTGATGTTGTTGTTGTTACGTGCCGTCAAGTCAGACCCAACTCATAGCGACTCCTCCTTGGGTTTCCGAAGCAGTATCACTACTGAAGTAGATTGCCCAACCTTCCTTCACCTGTTAGACCAAGTAAATAGCCATATCAATAGGCAACAGCCTCCTGTTTTTCTCACTTTGACCACTGCCTTGCTAATAATCCCTTCTCCACAGTAACCACAGTAATCTTTTCACAACGTAACTTGGAGAAGGTCACTCTTTTGCTTAAAACGTTCAACTGCCTCCCACTGCACAAAGGACAAAATCTACAATCTTAACATGACCTACAAGGTCAGAATTTTGTGGCACCTGCTTCTCTTTCTGGGCTTCTCTTATACCACCCTCTTGTCACCCTAGGCTTAACTTGTTCCAATCTTTTTTTGGCCCTCCAGCTGCCAACTCCTTTTCTGCCTTTGCACTTGCCAGTCTCCTCTGCTTGGAACATTATTCCTCCATTCTTCACTTGGCTAACTCCAACACATCTTTCAGACCTCAGCTTAAATGTGACTTTTGACAAAGACCTTTTTGTACTCCTCAGTCTAAATTAGGACTTCAGCTTTCTCATAGCATCTGTACTTTTCCCAATTTGTAATAAATGTATTTATTTGTGCGATATTTATCTATACTTGTATTCCACACTAGCCTATAGACTCCTTAGGGAAGGGACTAACACATTGGAGGTACTCAAAAATATGTTTGATGGATTGACAGATAAATGAATATGTATAATATCTGTAGACAATCAGAAATGTGCCAATGTGTAGCAGGCAAGCCCAAACATAAGTGATGATTTTCAGGGCACTACATTAGACATTTTTCTCACTATACAATGTCTCCCCAGGTAATCTCATCCATTCTTACAGCATCAATCATCACCTTTATGGTGATGCATTCCACATTTGTATCTCAGCCCAGGTTGTTGTTATTAGTTGCCATCAAATCAATTCCAACTCATGACAACCCCATGTGTGCAGAGAACTGAGCTCTATAGGGTTGTTAAGGCTGTGACCTTTCAGAAGCAGATCAACAAGGCTGTATTCCAAGGTGCCTCTGGGTAGATCTGAAGCACCAACCTTCTGGCTAGTAGTTGAGTGGTTAAGTGTGTGTCACCCATGGATTCTATCTATCTATCTATTCTATACTACTACTTTTGGCTTCAGATCTCTGTATTTAACTCCTTACTTGATATCTTCACTTGGATATGCCATGGGTGCATGAAACTCAGCATATCCAAAAGTGAATTTATCATTTTCTTCCCCAAAACCTGTTCATCCTTGAGTGTTTTGTATCTTAGGACATGGCACCAGCACCACGCACTTAACTGCTTAACCAGAAATCCGAAAGTCATCCTTGACTTCTCCCTCTCCCTCATTCCCTTTATCAAATTATTTACCTCACCCTATTGATTCTACAGCTTAGATATTTCAAATCTTTCCACTTCTCTTTATGTTTATAATCATTGCCTCAGCTCAGCTACCATTATTTCTCTCCTGCTTTAGTGCAAGAGCCTCCCACTGGTTTTGCAACTCCCACTCTTGCTCAGTGAGTTTTCTATTTTGCAAGCAGAGGATCTTTGAAAAATGCAAATCTGTTTTTACACCCCTGCTTAAAACCCTCCAATGGCATCTTGCATGCTTAGAATAATATCTAAATCCCTTAAATGGTGTAGAGTCCTACAGGATCTAAATCTGGCCTTCCTCTCCAGCCTCATTTCACACATTTTTCCTCTTCACTGTTAATGCTTCAGCACATACTGAACTTCTTTTGGTTTCTCAAATGAACTATGATTTTTCCTGGCTTAGAACATTTACAGATGCTGGAATGCTCTTCTATCTCCCACTTTTAGCTACCTAATTTCTACTTCTTCCTCAGGTCATAGTTTATGTATCACTGGCACTAAGATTCCTTACTCGCAGGTCAAGTTGAGGATTCCTGTTATAAGCTCCTATAGGTCTCCAGCAATTCCTTGTAACACTCACTGGACTGATATGCCCTCTATTATTTCAGGGTCGGTATGTGATGCTGTGAGTTCCATGAGGTTTTAAAAAAACATGTCTGTCTCGTTTCTGTTGTAGCCCTCAATCTTTTACAATGCTTAGTTCATAGTTGGCACTGAATGAATATATGAGTATTTGTTTAATTAACTCTCTGTCATAGTTAGCAAATATTTTCCCCAATTTTCTGTTTTTGCTTTATTTTCCTTACCTGTTAAGTAGCACCTTTACTGCCTCTAAACATCCATGCATTGCTGGGAGAAGAGAGTTGAGAATTAGAGCTTTTCAGTGCAAATATAAGATGCTTCTTTCCTCCTACATTCTCTCTCTGTCCCATTCTTTTGGTTAGGACTTACAGGAAGGAATAATTAAATTAGGAACACTCTTACTTCTCTACAAAAATAAAAAATTCAACTGGATAAGGAATGAAGAATGATGTTTTCACTTTACATGTACATAGCCAACATGTGATTATCTTGTCTTTATGAACACTTGCCTGGCAAATTTTCAATTTGAAATTTATCTCAGCAAATTTGTGCTGCAAATCCCAACCCAACCAGTTTTTGCCCAGGAAATGCAAAACATTTTAATAGTAATCCATGATGAAATAACCAGGAAATTAATACTCCTACTAAAAATAACTGTACTCAATAAAAAAAAAAGATTTTGACTATCTGTTCCTCACTGTTTTGTATCAATAACTAGGTGCAGTGGGGAGCTATTCAGATAATTCATGAGCTAGAGAAAAGTTGACTCACTTGCAAAGTTTTAAAAAAGGTTTCCTTGGAAAGGATGTAGGAGATCCTGCATAGAGAGGGAGAATAATGTGGAACAAAACTCAAAATCATTTGGAGGCAAAAAAAAAGAAGGTGGGGACCAGGTTTGCTGGTCCAATAGAGCCTGGTGAAACCACTGAGACTATGGCCCCTAGCTGCCCTTCAGGTCTGGGATTGAACCCACACCTGTGGTTTCCAGCCAAACAAAGTACAGGCAAGTGAGTTAAACATTTACCTCAAGTAGACACACACCCTGGAGAGAACAATCATGGGAGAAGGAAGGGCTGCTTATGCACAGGGAGATAGCTCAGGGTGCAGAAGAGTATGGAGGGATGGACGCTGGGAAGAGGTGGCTATGGGGAGGAAGTGGGAGGGGAACTGTTGTATTGTAAATTTTGGTCAATGACATGAGACAAAGTATATGTGAACTGCTGTATGAAAAGTGAATTTGCTCTGTAAATCTTCACCCAAATCAAAATAAAATTAAAAAAAAAAAAAAGGTTTCCTTGGTCCTTAACTTCCAACTATGGCTAGAGAATAATTTATGCACATTTCCTAGACTATCTTAGGTCACAGCTGTTGATTCTTAGAAAAACTAAAAGCCCTATGTGGTAGTTAAGGTTGTGTGTCAACTTGGCTGGGTCTGGTTGAGTGGCTGGGCAGCTGGTGGTAGTTATTCCCCATGATGAGACTGGCAATCACCTCCATGGTGGGATCTACCACAAGCAGCTGAGTAGCTGCTTTGGGGCTGTAGTCTACTTCCCATATATAAGCAACAGCTTTGGGAATGGACTCTAGCTATGGCATGCTTGAACCCTGCATGTAGCCATGTCATTGTTCAGCCTGCCATGCTCTGCCAAGCTGGGGACTTTCAATGGACTTAAATTAATGGCCTACCATGTGGTTTGGCAACATCAGGACTGTGCCTTTTTACTTGTCAACCTTGGGCTTGTCAGCCACAACAGCCAGCAGCTGAGTGAAGAAAAGCCTCTAGCTTCAGTGGGCTGGGAGCAGGAGGCAGAGCTGCAACCCAAGGTTAAGGGGCTTTCACCCAGCCCCTAGAGCCTGGCACTTTGAACTCAGACTTAAAGCCTCCAAATTGTAAGACTAAACTCCTGTTTGTTAAAGCCATCCCATTTGTAGTATATTCCTGTCAGAGCAGTACCAGGTAACCAAAATACCCTATATCCTAATTCAATGTACTACCTAGAAGGTTAAAGGTAGTTGACCTAGGTTTGCCAAGTTTCTTGATCGGGACTCTTGAGTTCCTTAATACCCTATTAATATATTTTCACTCTCTATTTTTTGGTAATCCTTGGGGGTGGGGTAGGGGTTAGTCAGTTCCACATTTGAAAGATGTCTAAGGGCCATAGTTTTGGGAGTTCTGCCAGTCTCTATAAGACCAATAAGTTTATTTTTATTTATTTTTTTTATGATTTTGAATTTTGTTCTATTTTTCTCGCACACTACCCAGGACCTTCTAGTAAGATCCTGATCATAGTGGTAAGTAGTAGTAACCAGGTACTGTCTAGTTCTTCAAGTCTCAGGGTACTGGAGGTTGTGGTTCGTGGGGTCCGCTAGTCAGTCCTTTGGACTAATTGTTTCATTGAGTCTTTGATTTTCTTCATTCTTCTTTGCTCCAGACAGGAAGAGACCAATAATTCCATCTCAGATGGCTGCTCGCAAGCTTTTAAGACCCCAGTTGCTACTCACCAAAGTAGGATGTAGAACATTGCCTTTGTGGTCTATGTTATGTCAACTGACCTAGTTGTCCTCTAAGACTATGATCCTAAGCCCTAAAGTTAGTTAGTCATTTCCTCAAGGTGTTTGGTTATGGCCCTAATTATTAACTTAAGTCACAGCAATTTTGCTTTTTAGTAAATTAATCTATAAATAGAAAATTTCAGAATTAAAGTTAACTACTCCAAACAATGAAGCCCAAATTTATATGTGACATTATCACTGTTCCTGTTGTGTGCCATCAATTCTGACTTACAGCAACTCTACTGGACAGAGTACAACTGCCTCATGGGCCTTCTAAAGCTTTAATTTTTATGGAAACTGATTGCCACATCTTTCTTCTGTGGAACAGCAGGTGGGTTCAAATCACCAACCTTACAACTGGCAGCCTAGTGCTTAACCACTGCACCACTCAGGCTCCTCAAGCATAGATAATTGTAAGCAAACCAAACCAAACCAAACCCCACTGCCTCGAGTTGATTCTGACTCAGAGCAACTCCCACTGGGTTTCCAAGACTAAATATTTCTAGAAGTAGACTGCCTCATTTTCCTCCCATGAAGCAGCTGGTGGATTTGAACTGCTGACCCACTACACCACAAGAGCTCCTTAGATAATTATAAGCACTATAATTATTTGCATATTTCATACTGTAGAAGGTGTTGCTTAGGATACAAGGGAAGTATAGTATTCTTTCCTCCTACTTTTAATAATATAAGAATAAATGTGACAATGATGAAGGGAATAGCAATGGTCAGTTATTCTGTACTCACTATGTGCCAAGCACTATGCTAAGGGATTTACATATATCGTGCCCTTTAAGCCCTACACAACCTTATGATAAGAACATCATTACCATCATTATTTTGCTAATCAGGAAACTTGCCCAAGAGAGAGACTTGAGTTTCCTAAGGTAAAAGACTTGGTAAGGGACAGAACAAGCTTATCTAACTGTTGTTGTTATGTGCCCTAGAGTCAGACTCATAGTGACCTTTCCTTGAGAGGATAAATCTCATATAAAAGAAAAGTTAATTAATACAAGAAAGAAGAGCATACTAACTGCCAAGTTATATTAGGTTTAGAAACTCCTTGTATGTCAGAATACCCCAAAGATGCTCTTATTCCCTGCCCTTTATTTTCCAAAATTATCCGTTTCCCTTGAGGTGGTGGCAGGAAGGGTGTCTTAAATTAGATGATGTTCTAACAGTGCTGAGCGAAGCATGCTGCGTGTTTGTACCCGCACCCCTGCCGAGCTGTGGGTCATACCTGCAGTGTGCAAAGGAGTTCTTCTAATTTTGCTTTCTGTCTTCCAGGCAGCTGGGGAAACAGAGAGCAAGTACTGGAGGATCAAAGGGTCACCTTCTCGGCTGGCAATGTGAAAACTGTTCCAGCCATCTTTGTTCTTCAGAAGTGGATTGGCGCCATATTCCACAAGGTCTTGGATCACCTCAAGATTCTTCCTTGTGCAAGCCATCATTAGAGGAGTCCTAAAGCCAATCAAGACAAGCTGTCAGAGGGGAGTATAGCCAAGACATTAGAAGTGAATGGCCAGGTCTTCAGAAAATGGACATCCTTGGCATAGACGGGAAATCTAGAGGATTCAGGATCTGGGAAGCAGAAAAATGGCTCTGACTAGAAACTTCTCTGCCTGCCATAAGGACAAGGAAGAAAATAACAAGGGGAAAATGTGATTTATGTGTCCCTGTGGGAGCTCTGGTAGCATAGTACTTAAGGCACTGAACTGCTAACCAGAAGGCTGGCGGTTCAAACTCACCAGCCATTCCTCGGAAGGAAGGCTGGGCAATCTACTTCTGTAGTGATACTGCCTCGGCAACCCAAGAAGGGGTCACTATGAGTCGGGTCCAACTTGACGGCACATAATAACAACATAGGAGTGAAGCACTTAGGAGGCAAAGCTGCTTCTGAACTGGTTCACAGTATAGCACTGAATTGGGACAAAACTAAGAAAAGCCACAGCCATAAACACTTGACTCAGAATAATATTTGCATAAGAGGTACTCTGCTGAATTTTTCCCATTCACTTCAATCAGTATCCATTTATTAATTGAGCTGAAAAGGAGTTATAAAACAGCATTTGAACACACCCATGTTCATTGCAGCATTATTCACAATAGCAAAAAGATGGAAACAACCTAAGTGTCAATCAGCAGATGAGCAGATAAACAAAATGTGGTACATACATACAATGGAGTATAATGTAATGATAAAGAATAATGGGTCTGTGAAACACTGCATAACATGGATGAATCTGAAGGACATTATGCTGAGCAAAGTAAGTCAATCACGAAAGGACAAATATTGTATGATACCACTTTTATAAAAAGTCAAGAATAGGTTTACACACAGAAAGCATTATTTGATGGTTACTAGGGATGGGAGGAGAAGGTATGGAGAATCACTTACTAGATAAAAACCAAAACCAAACTCACTACTGTCAAGTTGAATCCAACTCATAGCGACCCCTTCTTATGTTTCCAAGGAGATATCACTGAGGAAGTAGACTGCCCAATCTTCCTTCTGAGGAGTGGCTGGTGGGTTTGCTGGCCTTCTGGTTAGCAATCAAATGCCTCAGGCACTAGCCCAGCAGAGTTCCTTACTAGATAGTAGACACATGTTAACTAGATAATAGACACATGCTAATTTTATTGAAAGGAAAGGCAATTCCCAGTATGTGGGAAGTAAGCACCACATGACCATGGTAAATGAAGCCAGGAGAGGTACAGGATAACTACCATGAATGTTATGATGTATACAATTCTGCAACAACAGTAATACCAAAAATTTGTGAGTTGTTACACAGGTATTCTGTATAAGAGTGGTAGGGCATGTGGGAGGACATGTGTGTGCATATATTGGTATAGTTGAGGGCAGTTGTATATACATATTTGTATGTGCTGCATATATATTCCTATATATAATAGAGCACATGGGGGCACAGTTATAGAAACTTCTTAGACATTATCTAAACACCTCGTTAGGTTACTGGGCTTGAAGCCTAAGGACCATAATCCCAGGGGATATTTAGGACAACTGGCATAACATAGATCATAAAGATAACAGTCTACATCCTACTTTTGTGAGTAGCCTCTGGAGTCTTAAAAGCTTGCGAATGGTCATCTAAGATACATCTATTGGTCTTTTCCCATCTGGAGCAAAGGAGAGTGAAGGAAATTAAAGACTCAAGGAAGAAATTGTAGCCCACATGAGCCACAGCCTCCTCTAGTCTGAGACCAGAAGAACTAGACGGTGTTTGGCTACCACTACTGACCACTTTGACCAGGGACATAATAGAAGGTCCCAGTAAGAATGGGAGAAAAATGTAGAACAAAACTCAAATTCATAAAAAAAAAAAAAAAGACCAGACTTACTGGACTGATAGAGAGTGGAAGAACCCCTAAGGGTCTCACCCTAACACCCTTTTAACCTGGAATTGAAGCCACTCCTGGAGGTCATCTTTCAGCAAAATAATAGATTGCCCTATAAAACCAACAATAATACCCCTGAGGAATGTGCTCCTTAGAATAATCAACTATATGAGACCAAATGAGTAACATCTACCTGAAAGCAGAGATAAGGAGACAAGGAGGGGCAGGGAAACTCAATGGACAAAAACAGGGAAGGCAGGATGGAAATGGGGAATGTGCACTTCGGGGATAGCAACCAATGTCATGGAACAATTTGTGTATAAATTGTTGAATAGGAAACTAATTTGCTTTGTAAACTGCAAAAGTCATCTAAAACACAATAAAATGTTAAAAATTTAAAAAAGAGCATTTGACATAGGCCCTATCCATAAGAAGTATACATTGATAAGGCAACATTTACACAAATGAAAGTGTGGTTATAATAAAGTTCTGAACTAAGATGTGCCTGACAATCATGGGATAGTGAAATACATTGATATCAAGGGAGGTAGCTCTGACCTTGCGCTCCTCCAACATAAATGATTTCCAGTAAGTCATTTTACTTCACTGAAATTCCAGTTTCTTGTGTGTAAAATGAGGGAGCAATGACTCTTGGAAAGCAGGGGCAGGTCTTATTTACCCATCTATCCCCATTCTGTAGAACCCATGACTGGCACATACTGGGATGATCTGTAAGGTCTTGTCTAAGATTGTTATGATATTAGTTAATTACGAACACTATTTGTGTGCATGTGGTGTGATGATATGGTAATGATACCACTGCTGTTGAGTTGATTCTGAATCAGAGTGACCCCATGTGTTATAGAGTAAAACCGCTCCATGTAATTTTCTTGACTGTAATCTTTACAGAAGCAGATTGCCAGCTTTTCTTCTGTGGTGCCACTGGGTGGGCTCAAATTGCCAATCATTATGTCTGTAGTTGAGTGTAAACCATTTGCATCACCTAGGTACCCTGTGGTAATGATAGTGAAAGATGAATTAGAAGGAAGAAACCCAGATAAATGAGGGTTTATAAATGCAGTATTCATAAATTCATAAATATAATTATTATAAATGTAACATTCAGGGAGGCCTTCACAGAGAGAATGAATTTTGAGTAAGGCAGGGTAACTGGAAAAATAGGGAAGAAGGTATTTCATAAAGACAGAATGGCAGGAATGGGCAAAATGTATCACTGTGACTACACTCTCAAACATGTAAACAAATGAAGCTTGTCCTTTTAATGAAGCTGAGAACCTACTTCCTTATCAACAGAGTTGTTTTAAGGAGTATATGAGATGTCTCTTGGAACTGTCTTTAAACCAATTCACCAGCAGCACAAGAAAATCAATCTTATGCTTAGTTGTAGTATTTCCTATGGGCCAAATTTTAACTGTAAAAACATAATTACATCCACTCCCTCAACAAAATGGACAAGATGTCCTTTATTTACTACATTGCTGTCTGCTATGTTTCTAGTTTATATTAGATTAGGAGTCACTTGCAGGCAGGAACTTCATTATGTTATTATGGAGCTTAAGATGTTCATAACCTCTAAGGAAACTGACAGAATGAGTACTAAAAATGTAAATCTAACCAGCAAACTGTAATTGTTTTTTGGTGATAGTACAGCTGAATATCTTGATTGTGGTGGTAGCTATGCAAAGATGTCTCTTTGAGTACTAAGGTGCACCTGACTGATGGTATTTTCAATCGCTTCATGTTATTTCATGTGAAAGCTGGACAATGAATAAGGAAGACTGAATAAGAATTGATGTCTCTGAATTATGGTGCTGGCAAAGAATATGAAATATATTATGGACTACCAGATGAATGTACAGATCTGTCTTAGGACAACAGCAGAAATGCTCCTTAGAAGCAAGGATGGTGAGACTTCATCTCACGTACTTTGGACATGTTATCAGGAGGGACCAGTCCTTGGAGAAGGACATTCAGCTCAGTAAAGTGGAGAGTCATCAAAAGAGGAAAACCCTCAATGCAATATATGTGACAATAGACTCAAACATTGCAAAGACTGTGAGGAAGGCCTAGGACTGGGGTGGTGTTTCATTCTGTTGTACATAGGGTTGTTATGAGTTTGAAGCAACTTGATGACACCTAACAACACTACACATGATAAAACTGCATAGAGCTATTCACCCACTAGTGCATGTATAACTGGTGAAATCTGGATAAGCTCTATGGATGGTACCAATTTTGACTTCTTGGTTTGTGACTGTACTATGGTTATGTAAAATGCTAACACTGACGGAGACTGGGGGAAGGGTGTCACTGATGTTTCTTTCCAATTACTAATTACTTCAAAATACAATAATTTAAAAATGCAATTGCTGAAATGTTAAATATACTAGTAGTAATTTAGCTAGATATCCCCAGGAGAACATCACATCCTGGAATTCATATCCCACGTAGTACACACAATTCACTGTTTGATTATACTCTGTCTGCTACTGTTCTCTGCTTTAAAAACAAAGGAAGTGATTGCCCTGACCAAGCAGTTAACTCCACAAGGACAGAGACAATGTAAGCTGTAGGTCACCTCCACTATAGGCGAATGCTGGGGCAAGACCATCCTGCCACTGAACAGGTCTTAGGTTGAGAACCAGATGTTGAGGAAAACCCCACAAGTTTCTAAGGTGTAGAAGAGGGTGAAATACATGAAGAGCCTTTCTGGAAAGCGCGCCACCTACCAGTCTGCCTTTTTCAGGCAGTCCACAGCTGCTCCCCTGCCCAGCAGATACTGCACGCAATCCCGGTGGCCCATGGAGGCAGCTTCATGCAGAGGTCGCTTGTAGTCTCTGTTGGTGGCCTCGATGTCCAGCTCCCAGATCTCAGCTAGATAAGCCAGGATGTCCTGATGCCCGTGGCGGGCAGCGCAGTGCAGAAGGGTGTCTCCAGCCGGCCCTGGGCACCTCACAGCCGGACCTCCCATCCTCTGTAGCTCCTCCCGCAGGACGCGCAGCTGTCCTTCCTGCACCAGCCTGCAAAGGCGCTTTGGCCCCTGATCAGGCAAGTTAACCCCAGCTGCAGCCTTCTCACAACCCCTGGGCGTGTCCATGACGACAACACCTTGGTTCCAGGAGACGCCCCGGCCAGGTTCTGGGAAGGGAGTGGGGTGGGGGATGGCTGGCGAGCGGCCAAACCTCGGAGTCCCCTCTTCTTCAAAGCAGGATGGGGATGGCGGCTGGAGACGGGATTCTTTCACCTGCTCGGGTTTCTGCGAATGGTTCAGGAGCGAGGAAAGAAGGGAAAAGGCGAGGAAAGAAGGGAAAGGGTGGGTTTTGTATCTGAGAAAGGGCTAGAGTCTCGGCTTCTCCTGGAGACACTCACTCGCTCACTCGCCTGGCTTCCGCTTCCTGCACGTGATTTCTTCTCTGAGACAACCAAAAACTACCCCTGGACCCTCTTCAGCTTCTGGCAGCCACTTGGCTGCAATCCGAATTCTATTCCTCTCAGCGTCGCCAGTTGTTAGCTGGTTACGCCATATCCTAATAGGACGGACCGCACTTCACACCCCTCTACCCTCCTGACTTGTCTCAAGTGATAAAAGCCGCTGTTTCCTAAGGTGGAGAATAATTCTCCAAACGGATGATATAGTGTGTTACAAAAATGCTTCGTAATTTGCTTCTCTAATTTACCAGATACACACAAACACATACACATACAGTAATTGTTTACATAGAATAGCACTGAGGAGGTGGGTCTAAGAGAAAACATTTCATAGGGGTTATGTACGCGTGTCTAATGTTTTTAAGTTTGATTATTTTTGGTTAAAAACATTAGATAATGAGAGGTGTTGTTGGCTAGATAACGAAGAAATAAAATTGTATGAAAGAAACCTATAAGGATAGTGGGTAAACCCAGGGCCCTAGATACACATTTATGAGACTGCGGTAGCTCAGTTCTTAGCATACAGCAGACATATCACATTTGTTTTAATGGCTCACTACTTTTAAAGTGGGAGCTCTGGTAGCGTAGTGCCTAAGGCACTTGACTGCTAACCAGCAGGCTGGTGGTTCAAATCCACCAGCCATTCCTCGGAAGGAAGGTTAGGCAATCTACTTCTGTAGTGATACTGCCTCTGAAACCCAAAGAGGGGTCGCTGTGAGTCAGGTCTGACTGATGGCAAATAACACTAACAACTTTTAAAGTAGGAGTTCTGGTAGCATAGCGCTTAAGGCACTTGACTGCCAACCAGAAGGCTAGTGGTTCAAACCCACCAGACACTCTTCGGAAAGAATGTTGGGCAATCTACTTCCGTAGAGATGTTGTTGTTGTTGCTGTTATGTGCCGTGGAGTCGGCCCCGACTCATAGCGACCCCTCCTTGGGTTTCCGAGGCAGTATCACTACGGAAGTAGGATTGCCCAACCTTCCTTCCGTAGAGATAGGGCCTCGGAAACCCAAGGAGGGGTCGCTGTGAGTCAGGCGGGGTCCACGGCACATAACAACAACGACAAACTTTTAAAGTGACTTCGCCTATTGCTTTAATCCTCAAAACAGCTACGGTACAAAATTATTATAATTCTGTTTCCGGAAAAGGAAGCTGAGACCCCGAGAGATGCGGGGCTTTCTTAGGTACAATTTAGTTATTTTCGATGGCAAATACCACTGTGTTCTTTCCTCTGCAAATTACCTGCATAAATATTTGTTGAGGAATGCATGAATGGTGCCGCTGTAATTCCCGGGCGTTTCCAGCGCCACACTTATAAACAACGAATGGTCAAGGTTCCTTTTCAATAACAGGGAAGCGCCTCCGCTCACTTCCGTGCATTTCCCTGCAACGCCCCCTTCCTCCTCCAATCCAAATACAGCCCACCTACCCCTTTCCCTGTCGCAGGCCCTCTAAGTGGGACTGAAGGAGCTCAAAGGAACTCTGGGAAAGTTTCCCCTCGTCTCCACCTCCACAGAGAAAGCGCGAGTGGGGCGTGGTCCGCTAGAGAGTGGCCGCGCCCACTCCGGGAAGGCGTAATGATTGGCCGCGGGAGCAGTCCGTCAGCTCTGGCGGTGAGCCCTTCCCGGGGCCGCGGTGGGGGCGGAGCTCGCGGAGGAAGTCCACGGAATTCTCGGTGTTCACGGTCAGGGCCGCTGGAAAAGCTCGCGCTGCCTTGGGAACGCTGGGACTGTGAGGCTGGGAAGCCCGGTCCCCGGCAGCTGCGGCGGCGGGCTCAGCGGCGGCGGGAGCCCTGGTCTGGAGCGCCATAGTGCGTGAGGCCACAAACGTGGCAGAGAGCGCGGGCGGGGCTCTGCCGTGTGGGAAACTTAACCTTTTGGGGTTCTGACAGGGGGTCTCGGCCTCAGTGGGTCCATGGGGGTGGTGGGGAAGTGCGGGCCCGGTACTGAGCGTTGGTGTGGGATGGTTCTCGCCCAGCTGTTGGCACGGTGGAGGGGCGCGGTGGGTGTGCACCGATGAGGCCTGAAGGGGCGCTGAAATGAGCAAGGGCCACGGCCCGACGCCCCTAGACTGCCTTCTGAGGTCTATGAAGAGGCGAACTTACAGTTTTTCGGTTGTTGTAGGAGCCAGGGGAGATGTGGCCTTGGCTGCTGGCAAAGCAGGATTTCGTTTTCTGCTCTGATGTTTTGACCTTGGGCAAGTCATTTTATTCTGCGATTTTGCTCCACTTTCATTTGTAGCCTCCTTTCCCCTTACCTAAGGAGCTCTGGTGGCGTAATGCCTAAGGCATTTGACTGCTAATCAGAGAGTTGGCCGTCCAAACCCACCAGCCACTACGCGAAAGGAAGACTGGACAATCTACTTCTGCAAAGATTCATCACCTTGGAAACCCGGTGGGGGTTGTTATGAGTCGGAATCCACTCGATGGTAGTGGGTTTTTTTTCCCCCCCCTTTACCTGAGTATTTAAAAGTTTAAGATGATATGGGAAGGCCTTTAACTTTTAGGGAGTGAGGAAAAGAACAGTAGGTTAGGTGTTTGGTTCTTTACCTGACCATATTACTTATTAGTCAGTAAACTCTGGTGTTTTCAGTTCCATTAAGGACAAAATGGAAGTTGCCAGTGTGTGCCAAGCTCGAAAACAATTATGCTTTACATTTTGTACTGCACTCTGTGGTTTACAAACTCTTTACATACTATTGTGCAAAGATAGGGAGTTCTGGTAGCATAGTGCCTAAGGCACTTGACTGCTAACCAGAAGGCTGGCGGTTCAAACCCACCAGCCACTTCTCGGAAGGAAGGTTGGGCATTCCTACTTCTGTAGTGATACTAACTCGGAAACCCAAGGAGGGGTCCCTATGAGTCGGGGCCGACTCGATGGCAAATAACAACAACAACAACATTGTGCAAAGAACTGTGTAAGGTATCATTCTGGTTTTACACATGGGGAAATTAAGGCCTAAAGAAGTTAGTGATTTTTCCCGGGGAAGTATAGGTAATAAAGTCCTCTGGAAGGAAAAATGGTGCTACGTATTGAGTATCTGCTAGTTCCCCAGCACTGTGCTACGGTAAATTAAGTGGATAAAATGAAAACTTAGTATGAGCCCATGAAATAAGTCCATTTTACTGATGAGCAGATTGAACTGTGTTAACTTCAGGAGTTAATATGGATAGTTATTGGAGACTAGATACTGGTATAAGCTTTGCCAAAGTTCTTGTTTCATTCAAAAAAAGAAGGCATTAACTTGCTTTAAAATGCAGTTTTAGGAGAAATGGAAGTATTCTCCATGTTGATGCTGGTGTGGGAGTCAGTGCAAAGGGGAAGTTGAAGCATCTGGTCCCTTCCTGCTCACTCTTGCTGCCCCCTCTCCCACCCTAATTACAAATGACTCCACTTTCTCTTGCCTTATGTCTCCAGTTTCCCACTTTTTTTTTTTTTTTTTAATGATTTGGGTAAAACTTTACAGAGGAAATTGGTATTTCATACAATCCATACACATTTTGTTTTGTGACATTGATTGCAATCCCCACAAAGTCACAGCACTCTTCCATTTCGTCCCTGGGTTCTTTGTTTCCATTTGTCCTTTCCTATCCCTTCCTGCTTTCTGAGCTTTATTCCTGGGCAAATGTTGTCCTTTTGATCTCCTATGGTTGTTTGTTCTGAAGGGGTCATTCCTCTCTGATGTTATTGTTCACCTTAAAGGCCTGTGTATCATTTGCCTGAAAGTTGAGCCAAGAGGGTGTCCCTGTTTTTTTTTTTTTTTTTAAACAAACAAAAAAAATTGTGACGCATGGATTCAAAGTAGGATGGATTATTTGAGATTCAAGATGATTCTTCTCATAATTGATGTTTTCAATCCAGTTTTGCTTTTCCTATTTCTTTTATAAGGAGCTCTGGTAGTTCAGAGGTTAAGTATTTGGGTACTGAATAAAAGGTCAGCAATTAGAACTCAGTGGAAGAAAGATGTGATAGTCTGGTTCCTTAAAGATTTACAGCCTTGGAAGTGCAATGGGCCAGTTCTACTCTGTCCTGTAGAGTCACTCTGAGTTGAAATCGACTCAATGGCAATGGGTTTGATTTTGGGTTTTGGTGTCTCCTTTATGAATTTTTGTTCTGTATGCCCCTTTGGATGTCTAGATGATAATGTATATGAATCTATCCCACAGCCATTGTGATTTGCAGAGCAAGAACTTGGTGGGGGTGGGATCTGCACTGTAAACTACCATTATAGTTAAGGACTATTACAGTCTGTGGGAAGCACAGTGGTGGCACAATGGTTAAATGCTCAGCTTCTGAGAGGTCTGTAGTTTGCATCCACCAGTGGCTCTGAAGGAGAAAAGAGACCTGGCAAGCCCCTTCCATAAAGATTACAGCCCAAGAGACCCTATGGGGTTTCTCCTCTGTTCTGTAGGGTTGCTATGAGTCAGAATCGAAATGGCACACAATAACTAAATAGTCTGTGGCTGCTGATTACTTTTCTAGTCCTATCTCCCATCATTCTTCATCAGTGAATTTCATGTTCTAACCAAAAAACAAAACCAAACTCACTGCTATCGAGTCAGATCCGACTCATAGCGACCCCTCTTTAGGTTTCCGAGGTGGTATCACTACAGAAGTAGATTGCCCAACCTTCCTTTGAGGAGTGGCCGGTGGGTTTGAACCTCCAG